CGAGCATAGCTGTCGAGCCCGTCGTCCCGTCGAACCATTCGAACCATTCTCTCTCGCTTCCCGAGAAAGGTATCGAGTCTCGACCCCTTGATTAATTTTTACGTGTTTATTAGATGCGTTTAGCATGTTCTATGAATTAATATATAAATGCCTATGATTTTATGTGTTCGTAATTGGTTCATTATATATATATTAATGTGTAGACAAACTCTTCGATTTTGATAAATCGGAAGAGACCTCGTCATTCGTGTTTAAGTTACTGTGGAATGGAACAATTTATCATCCTTGGTCTTATGGTGAAGACCTCGGGCGATTTTATCGTAAATCGAATCTTAGAGAAATTGTCGAACGTGTTTAGTGGCTGTTTTTGTAATAAAATCATAATACATTCTATGCTGCTCTGATTGCCATGAAATTTTACATGTGATGTCCTGTGTTAATTGTATAGCCCGTTTAAAAATTTCAGATTTTTCGGAGGTCTGTAGCTAGTTTTAAAAATTATAGTGACTTCTGTCAGATTCATGTTTAATTCGTAATAAATTGTGTTGTGCACCAAGATTCATGACATTTTAATATGTTGTCAATATGCCAGATTTAGTTGCTGTGTAAAATTGTTAGAATATTTGGATTAATATTGATAGGGTAAATAATTCATTTACGGTTTCTTCTTAATAGTGTTTTAATTTTGATAAATTGGTTAGTTGTTTGAAAATTATGAGTTTTGGCTGAGATGCTTGTTTTATGTGTACTAGCATGTTGTAAAAATATTGGAATTTGTGGAGTTGGAATTGGTTCGGTTTTAATTAAAACTCGATAACTGCTGAATCTTGTATGAATTTTCATAATTTTTGTATTTGATGTAAATTGCTGGAATTCTTATATGTTGATACTTAATTGTTAAACTTGCTCCAGTAAAAATCTCATGTGCCAATTCGTTCGTTAGGTTGGGATTTGAAGTTTATGCTCATTTTTGTTGATACTATATTTGAATTTTATAAAATTATGTACTTTGAATTTGAGGCTGAAACTTGGTGGTTTTCCAAGTAATGGGAGCTGTATTTTTTATTAAATTTTCAGAGTCCAACTCATGGGGCAACTAGATCAACTTAGTTTTGTGTTTTGGCTAATAAATTAGAAATATGATTTTTGAGTTAAAAGTTGTAAATTGGCTAGCTTTTTGTTTCTTGTTGTTCGACTTGGTCAATCGTTAGTTGACTTATGTGAACTCCCATGAATGTTTTGGTTGAGTGTAGTGTCGAGTCTAAGTGTTCCAACGTCCACAGGACTTCACGAATAACTTAGCCGAATCAAGTTCGACTAAGTCTGATTTGTGTTTCTCCGTCTAAGTCGAGATAGATATTGATTGTAGGAATCTTGACTTAATGTAGGTGCTTCAGGAGTTAAGCTTCAACCTACGTCCTTTCTTATTTTTCTATCGTCAATCCAGTATCCAGGTGGGTTTACTTATAAAAATGTCTATGCCTACGTGTTGTTTATTGTTTAGTTGGTATGACCAATGTATGAATGTGAACCATGTGGCCTACCGATGTGAGCTGTTACGGCCGTCGGTACAGTTGTCCCCGTCGAGTTACGGTACGGTTGCCCTTGCGAGGCAAGTCTCCTTAAGACCTAATGAAAGGCCGTATCCGTTACAGTGGCACACACTCCCGTCGTTAGGGTTTATGCATCCCCTTTCTGCGGCTAATGATAGATGTGCACATGAGTGAGTTATTGTTGTGATTATTAGGAGATGAGACATGATGATGATTGATTTATATTCATACTGCGACCATACCATCTTTTCATGTTATTATGTGAATAGTAGTGAGCACTACTTTATCATTTGTGTTCATTTCCACCTGCTCTTCACGGATGCAGGTTAAGCAGTGGCCGGGTGACGAGACAAAGGGCGAGTGGTGGTCTATTTACTGTTTCGTTTTGCTTCCGCTTTAGTAATATGGTTGCTATGAACCTTTCTATGATTTGGACATGTGAAAATTGTTTTCGAACTATGTTATGTTTTGATGTTCGGGAATAGTTTGGAAAACCCTTTTTCGAACCTTGAATAATCATGGTGTTTATTTATGAAGTTATAATTGTTCATATTGAATATTATGTCGAGGTGTGAATCAGGTTAGTGAAAACCTTGTAAAAATCGGGTTTATGAATCCCCGTGGGTCCAGATAAGACTTGGACTAAGTAAAGATGTGTTGGTTAATGCCCTTGATTTCGAAAATGTATTCAAAAAAAAAATTGTTCTGATTTTTAGAAAGTCCCGAATTTCTTTAAAATCAAAGTGGGGTGTTACAATTTGGAATCAGAGCCAGTCTGCGTTTCTGTAGACTGCTCTATGTGTGAAATTTCATATATATGTAATTATGTGATTGTGACCCTTGTGTTCGACCACTCGTCTCTGTCACTCCGCGCTGCTTAAGGTATGTTTTATAAGTATCAATGAAAATACTTATAATGTGA